TGTTCTTATTTTACCAACGAAAAATGGGATTGCTCGTTACATTATAACGACCCCACGCATGGAATGGCAAACATATTCGGTAAAAGGATTCAAACTCGCGGATGACAACACAGAAACCGGGTGATTCAACACGAATTAATCCCTAATTTCGAAGTGATAGACTAGACGGAAGGCAAAGAGTAAACACCACCCACCATCAAATATGTTTTTTTTTTACAAACGAAAAATGGGATTGCTCGTTACATTATAACGACCCCACGCCTGGAATGGCAAACATATTCGGTAAAAGGATTCAAACTCGCGGATGACAACACAGAAACCGGGTGATTCAACACGAATTAATCCCTAATTTCGAAGTGATAGACTAGACGGAAGGCAAAGAGTAAACACCACCCACCATCAAATATGTTCTTTTTTTACAAACGAAAAATGGGATTGCTTCGTGGGGTCGTTATAATGTAACGCATGGAATGGCAAACGTATTCGGTGAAAGGATTCAAACTCGCGGATGACAACACAGAAACCGGGTGATTCAACACGAATTAATCGCACTCACTCTAAAACGCACAAACGAAAAGTGGTACAAAACAACTGGTATGTAGTACAGAAGATATAAAAATGGGATTAACTTTTTTGTGGGTAACTATGACGTGCGTGTAGAAAACAACCGACCAACGAAGTTATAAAGATACTGTTGTATTGCTTCTTTCTTTTAAATAATCCAGTCTTGCTCTTACCTTAATATATATATAACAAAGGTTTCTAGAAGAAGGGTTTAAAAATGAAATTCTAAAAGTAGGTGCGTGGGCAGAAAGCACACGAACCGCTTGTCTGTTGGAAAGGTACCCGTGCTGTTGCTACGCGCGCCATCATACGTCACTTTCGTTTGATGCCGGCTTCACGTATTTTGCTACCGTCCTCCTTTGCGGTAGTAAGGTGGTAAAACTGTAATGGCTGCCAAACTCGAACTGTGCGGTTAATTGTTTATCCATTCAAACATGATTTTTGGGTTTCCAAGTGAGTTCTTCTACCTGATTTGATTTCTTTCAACAATTTGTAACACCAGACAGAAAACTCTTAACATATATATATATTAAGTTGGTGGTATTTGTTCTTATTGACCGTGTGCATCATATGTAAACAATGATATAATAGATTTAAAAACAACTGTAAAGATACAGGCGAGTTCGTGCTCACACATCAACACAGCTCATGTGTGCTGATGTTTACTCCCAAAATAAGGTTTAACCCAGTAAAATAAGTTCTGAGCAAAAACACACCAAGCATTGAAATCCGCTTTCTCACTCACCAAAACTTCTGAAGCATAGATCAACAAACCTAATGTCCAATAAAGTTAGTACCAGAATAATTGTGACGATTGGCATTCTGAACCAAGAAATACACAGTGGAACGATCCTTTAAGGACTTCACATTTCAATTCATTATGAAAAGAATAACAACAAACGTGTTCAATAATTCAAGTGAAACTTTAAACTAAACGTTAAGTACTGATTCTTTTTAATAATATTATGAAAAAAGAAAACAACAATGACGTTTCAAAAAGACAACAGTTAAGATTGTATTTCATCAGACACTTCAGTTTCCCGAGGTTAGTTACTTTCAAAAACTGTATCTATACCATTAAAATTCATTTGTTTTTTGCATATTGTTAAGCCTTTAAAACAATGTACGCTCAAACATTTTAGAAAATGCTGAATTTCTGTCTCTTCATTTAAACGTGACAGAAATAGAACTGCTTTAAACGAAAAATAATTATTTTCCTCAAATTATTTAGTACTAATGTATTTAACATTGGTCTTTGCCATTTGAAATTACCTTAATTTACCTAAACATAAATTATAATAACCTTATCCTTCTTAATCACAGAACCATCATTTTTATCAAAATAATCATGAAGAGGAATTTGTACCAAAGTCTAAAAGTCTCTTAATATTCCACGATAAAGAGAAACATTGTTGCTATAACCTGATACATTAATTCTGAGGCATTCAAAGCATTTTCCTTGTTAGAAGTGGTTATGGCTATAGTAATAAACTGTCAAAAATGTCCAAGAAGAGATTTAGTGGTTGCTTCAAGCTGGTCGTCTGATTATTGGGTTGTCACTGTTGGAAACAGATACTGACCTGTTTTCTGTATCCAGTTATTCTAAATAAAGCTTTATTGGGACAATCAAAGGGAAGCTAACCAACAACAAAGAACACTACAGTGATTGGTATGATGTACAAGTAGCCACTAACAATCAAAGGGAAGCTAAACAACAACAAAGAACACTACAATGATTGGTATGATGTACAAGTAGCCACTAACAATCAAAGGGAAGCTAACTAACAACAAAGAACACTACAATGATTGGTATGATGTACAAGTAGCCACTAACAATAAAAGGGAAGCTAACTAACAACAAAGAACACTATAATGATTGGTATGATGTACAAGTAGCCACTAACAATCAAATCACCTATTTTTAACAATCTAAATTAAAATTTACCAGAAAATTGTAATTTTAAGTTAAAGGAAATTAACATAAAGAATTAAAGATCTGAATACAGAAAAAATATATATTAATCAGATAAAAACATGCTCTTCCAAACTATGAACTTATTTTCTTCATTGCTTACCTTCTGTCTTTTACACAAACTGTTTATTTGAAAGATAATTTAGTACATTCTAATTTAATATGTCATGTTTATATGAAAGACAGTGTAATCATTTTTTAAAATTCTATTTTACTAAGCATAAAGCTAGACAGTTGGCTGTGCCTGTTACGGGTATCAAAACCCATAAGCCTATCGTTATCAAGGGTATCATGATAAGCCTACAGATTTTAGCACTAGGCCACTGGGAGGGGAGGGGTGACAGTGTAACAAATGATAATATTTTGTTGAAATTAAAGAAGTGATAAAGCAGGAACTCTAATGCAGCTTATACTGTGCACTAAGAACTTGCATCATCATACCATAGATTACGGATTGATTTTTATCATAACCAACTCAATTGTAATCTTCAAAATCTGGCATGTATCAAATTACAGGTTCGGAAACTTTAGATTTATAAGGTTACAATTTCTACGTGTACATAGAGAGATAAGAGTAAGATTAGTTTCCTAATTTAAACTAGTTGTTGGCACCAATAGACTCAGCTGTCATAGAAGTCTTTATGTGGCAAAACTAACACAAAGACTACTTCCATGCCCCACTACTAAAACTAAAACAATTGGATGAGTTAAGACAGTCTTTCATTGAATAGAATCAGCACTGTATTTGAATGAGCAAAAAGTGTATCCATACATGATCTACAAATGAGGTCAAAAATACACTGAAAAAAAAAAGTTATAGATATCAAAGACACCTAGCACAGTCCAACCAGTTCAATACAAAGGGTCAGGTTAAGGATGTTATTCAGTGAACGAGGAAGAGATACACACAAAATTGCAGAAAAAAAAGGGGGATTCCCCTAAGTTGATCATCCTGGTATGGAAACTCACCTATTTTACCAAGTACACCTGCTGAAAACTGTTTGAAAATGTTTCATGTACGTGCAAGAACACATTACAGTAACCTTGGAAGATAGGAATAAGGAAAAAAATTCTTCAGTAAATCTGTTCCCTATTATAGTGTGTCAGATCCTACAGATGGTAATGGCCCTAAACTCAAATTATTCAGTCACTATATTCTGTTGATCTCACGCTGTTTCAATTGGAGAGTGACGGAACATAACGTGTTATTTGGGTTAAATGGCCCTCTGCTGATAAATTAGTTCCAGACGACCATCAAACTAATCCAGTTTTGTTTCTGAACTACAGAAATTGTTCGTAAAGTATCCAACAAAAACAGATGAACATTAGTTAAAATAACTCATGATTTGAAAGCACTAACTTTAGTTTCAAGTTTATAAAACATCAGGATTTAAATAGTACTAGAAAGCATTCTTCCCAAGCAACTTCCCATACCAGTCACTTCAGAAAATAAATAACTAGGAAGTCCATATTTTAATTTCATAAATTAAACTACAACACTTAACAAAGAATCAATTCTTATAACACTGACTCTTTAAATAACTAGGAAGTCCATATTTTAATATCATAAATTAAACTACAACACTTAACAGAGAATCAATTCTTATAACACTAACTCTTTAAATAACTAGGAAGTCTATATTTTAATATCATAAATTGAACTACAACACTTACAAGTGTATAGCTCCAAGTTATATAGATATTAACCTACATTTTTAGTTTCCATTCTATTTGAATATTTCTGTG